ATAACCGCAGTGGTAACAACCGGCATTGTCTGATCTGTGCACTTGGCTGAGATTTGGCTTCCAAGCCTTCAGTGTTGTCAACGTGTGTTCGATTATAGACGCCACAGCAAACCAGTTCTGAGTGCACTCGTCAAATATATGGATGTAGGTTCGTGTCTGAAGAGAATATTAGAGTGGTTAAATAAAAAAAAAAACCAAACATTCAACCCGGAATCTCTGACACATCTTTTGGTTTTGGCTTCGGGGCAGTTAGTTGTCCAAACTCGAATAAACTCGCCTTTTCATATTTTCGCGTTGGTGCAGTCAGTGTGCAAAAAAAATTTGCACTGAATTTTCCTTCAGATTTTATTAAAGAGTTGTATGCTAACTTGGAAAAAAGAATGACACAAGTACTGTTTCAACATTAAACAAACCTCAATTTCCTCGCTGTCTGCTTTGTTAATGGCAACAGTAATGTGCCAGGGCTTTCCTTTTTTGCCAAACCAATCGCGCTGCGTCTCTCTGTAGCCTATTGGTAAGAACTTCATAGCCCAATCCATAATTAATAGCTCGCAGGCGTGAGACAATTTCTCTTGCCTTATCATTTTGAAGGCCTGCATCAAGAGGAATACATTGGTTATAAACGCTCGTCAACATCAACTGGAAAGGAGTCTAGCTCGTTTCCTGCGAAACGAAATTTGAAAAAGAATAAAATCAAGAAAACAAATATGAACAAAAAAATGAAACAAACAAACGAACGACACGAGAGACTGTAAGTTAACCCTTAAACGCCTATTAATGACTGGCATCTAGTTTCTTCTGACAGCATCACTCCTGAATCAAACATAAAGGTCACGAGAATAAAGGGAACGACCATCTAAAGAAACTCTTGATTGTTAAACAAATTCTCCTTGTTGGTTCCAAAACAATTCATGGAAAATGCTGTGGAGAAAATGCAAACTGATTTTTAAGGGTGTAAAGGGTTAAATTGTAATCGGGAACAAAAAAACTGCTAAAGACGATTACGAATGGTAAACTCCTAAAGACTAAATTACGATGTACCTAGTTTCTCCTAAAATATTGGTTGCGGCTAAAAGAAATATTTATCAACTAGAGGGGTATCATCTTCGTGCGATGACAAATTTCCTTAACTATATAACTATATAGTTATAAATGTATCAAATACAAGATATTGGGTGCTTAAAATTATCCTCTAACCTTGTTATCAAATGGGTATCCAATCATTCTCCTGTTAACAAAGCTATCCGTACTCGCATTAAGTATGATCTATGGAGGCAATGGTCCTCGAAATGCTCCGAACGCACACGCAAATCTTTTGGAAGAAATGTCCTTCCAATGGCATGAATCCATGCACGTCAATAAATGTGGTGTTTTGGCAGGGGATTCTGCTTGTTTTTTACCGGACTAATGCACTCGAACGCTTCGCTATTAGCCATTTTGCTAAGGAAAACCCCAGGATAACCCCAACTACGAAAGAACGGAGCAACCATAAAAATGCCTTGCGCACCTAAAAAGATGGAGAACGCGGGTAGTTCGAAGTTGCCGTGAAGGCCAGTTTTGAAGGCCGAAAAAAATTAACAAGGTTAGAGGTATGATTTTAAGTACCAAACATCTTGAGTTGATATATTTAGAGCCTTTTTAGCAGTATTTTCTTTAAAACTGCAGGTTCTCTTTCAAGTCACGAGAATAGGGGAGCTGATCACCAACTAAAGAAGCTCTTGATTGTTTGACGAAATCTCCATGTCAACACCTTAAGAAATATATAGAGAACAGTATGCATGGAGAATATGCATACTAACGTTAAGGCGTAAAGATTTATCTAATTAAAAAGGAAATTTAGACGAATGGCACCTTAAACTGAGGGGGATTTGCAAATAACCTTTTAGAGTTTGACTGTTAAAGAGATACGTTGGAAATAATAAAGACACATCACCTCCATTAAGCGTCTTCATAATTTTCTTGTATGATCCCATTTCTTCTGGGCCAACAAGAATGACACTCAGACCTTCCCTGCTCGCTCTAGCTGTCCGTCCACTGCAGTGAATGTAAAGCTGTTAACAAACACAGAGAAAGAATTTAGGAACGTAGGATCACATGAGATGGTTGCGCTAAAGGTAATACTTACATTGTGGTTACATCATTACACAACAGTTCATTATTAAATGAGATACAACTGAGGACGATAAACAATAACAAACTACTCCTCTCATATAAACTGCATTTGGAGAACAGAGTCAATTTTTTTCCTAAATCAAAACTCATTAACTTAAATGAATTATGTTTTGATTTCGATAGGTGAACGTCACACATTAACTCAAATTGGAAACAAAACAAAGATTTAGAAAGTGAAGATTTAGAAATAAGAAAATAAATGCAATAAAATAAATTTAGAGGTAAAAAAAGAATTCAGGCGTCAACGGCGTTCGAACTTTGCTATCAACATTCTGGTTGAGCTTCTCTTACAGTTGAGACTTGTAGCCCACACCTTGGTTAACGCATGGTTGGTTGAAGCAGTGTGACTTCCGAAGCCTTTTGTCAAGGTAGAGTTTCGCGGAGAACGAAAGCACTGCCGCCAAAAAGCAATCGCTTCCGTTCCCGCCTGCCGCACAGGCTGACCAACTGCACAAGCTAACTAACCGTACACACATACTTACACGTACTTACATCAAGGTCCTTCGGAACTTGATAGTGACAGCTGGTATGTCCAAACCTCTCGTGGCCACATTTGTAGCCAGAAGTAAGCCACTCGCACTTTGCTTAAATCTAACAGGCAAGAAAAAAATCAGCCAACATTTCATTTGCTGGTGTAAGTCCTATCTAGCTTTAAATATTCTCTGAGGGAGGAGAGGGGCGGGTTCAATCAGTCAAGGCGATCCAGTTATAGTCTATAAATAAAGGAAATTCCATTGCTCGGTCAATTCGTAAACTATACTCTCTGTTTTGATGAAAAAAAAATAGTAATAAGATCAGGATGATTCTGATCCAAGGCCACATAGCAAGCGTGTCGCCTAGTGTTTTGCGCAAAGCAAGTTGCGGAGTAAAGAACGTGAAAGACGCAACAGGAAAAAAGCACGTTGTCTACAAAATTAGGTTCCTAATTGTTGCTTTGTTTTGTTGAGTTTTTTGTTTGTTTGTTTTTTGTTCTGGTTTTTGTTTGTTTCGTTTGTTTCATTGTTTTTTGTATTTTTGTTTTTTTCCATCTCACTCAGTTTTCACCCGGCCTGTCTAAATTCTTTAATCTTTGCCTTTGTTGCATGCAGGCGGGCAGAACCCACGGGTTAAAGTCCAAGAGCCTAAACAAAGAGCCCAGTCTCCTCACACAGTCCATGGTGTTGGAGAAAACCAAAGTACGGCCTGGGTACCGGGAAAGGAAATAGTGGAGATAAAGGTCCTAGAAAGAAAATTCAAAATAAATCTGAATGAGGTGATTTTTACAACAACTGTATGTTTCGTAGTTCTCCTTCGATTTCACTTGGTACACCTCTGTGGTTCCGTGGATCATGTTTCCCAGACAATGTGGTGTACATGTAGATGCATTTGGCTCAAACCAACAATAAAAAGTAATAAAAATTGTATCCTGGATCTTGAAGAGTTTCGCTTCCTTGTTAGCTCAACTATTACAAACCTCTTCAATTGCACATGAGATCTTTGCTTCTGTCAGGGTTTCTATGGTTCCTCTCTTGTTGGTGACATCGATAATTTTACAACTGTTCTTCTGCAGCCCAACTTTGTCCATCAGCGACACTAAATATGTTATACAAAGGCAACAAAGGCAAAGATTAAAGAATTTAGACAGGCCGGGTGAAAACTGAGTGAGTTGGTCATTCTTTGTGCTTTTTCAAGTTGTGTGGATGGTGTGGTAACTGTTTGTTCCAGATTATCCTGAAGATTTAAATCAAAAGAAAATACTATGTAGCTTTTTTTTTTTTTCCCCCGTGAGCCAAACTTCTAGAGAAAACCAAAAAGAAGCTTCTGTTCTTAGATATACATAATTGTGCATGTATGGGTAAAGACTGAAAAAATGCATGAGCCCTTGGGACAATGCAGTCTGCTGTCTTCAAAAAATTTAGGACAAACTGCTCTCAAAATGATTTCGATCAATTCCTGTATTTCCATGTAGTTCTTGTGGTGAGTGTTGTTGTTGTTGTTTTCTTTTTGTTTGTTTGTTTGTTTGTTTGTTTTCTCATTTAAGGTATGACTGGCAGTTATCTTAGTTTTGATTCTCATGTCCAATACACCCAATCTGACTCAGGAGACAAGTCATTCCATTTGAGTCAGGTTGAGGATTATTATTAAGCGTCTTGAAAATCGACTTGTAGTAAGACATTTCCACCTTAAGAGGCACGGTTTATTCAGATTTCCAGTATCACAAGATGACTTAACCACTAATTAACTTCTGGTGGGTCGATTTGTGAACGACTCAACCCAATTTGGATGTATTGGACAACCCTCAACATTTAATAATTAAAGATAAGTTATAATAAAAAATAAATAAACAAAATAATTTAAAAAGATAATTTTTCCCAATTTCTCGTAAAATACAAGGGTAATTTCACCACGTGCTTGAAGTGAATCTTACATTTGTATCTTCTAAATTTAACTATGCGGTATGTTTTAAAGCACTTTAAGCAATTCACCTCCTACAGCGGCCATTCTTTTATTTTCTTCTTCTGAGCTGGTCCACCTGCACCAATTCCTGCTAGCTCTTCTGGATGATAATCTTCCATGACTTCAAGGGACATAAATCCATCCATTTCGCCCGCAAAGAACGAAGGATCGTCCAATTCTACTGGTTCCCATTTTCGCTTCTTCCCTTTCGAATTCTTCTCTGACATTATGGAGCAATGAACTAGAAACTGAATCTAAACGTTTTTTTTAAATAACAAACAACCGTTTTGGTTTATCCCTAGAGAATTAATAAAAACACTATCACGTCGTCCGCCATTATGGATTACCCGCCAGAGAAGGACTGGATAAGAAATTGTACTGCGCGCATATTCAAACGAGAGTCATGCGCTGATTTATTGCTAAATGACTTTTCTCCCTTCGCCGAGTTCACTGAAACCTTTGTGAAACGTGAATGAAAAGACCAACATGGCGAAAGAACACCGTACATTTAAAGAGGAGTGCAGTTATATTGAGCGCTTAAACGAAAACTCGTTTCTTATCAAGAAAGGCTTTGTCCCAAACATGAAGGTAAGTGAACGCGCGCCAAAAATCAGATCGTAAGCTCAACTCCAACTGATTGGCGTGCGCGTCAAAATACACGTCTAACGATGTCATACTTGAGAATGTTCATAATAAGCTATGGTCATCGAAATAAATCCCCTTACACCTGCCATATCCGTCAAAGTAATTTCCTTCTTTGAAATAAGTTTTGTCACAAGGAAAATTGTTTCTGGGACAACTGGGCCCAGGAACCTTTTCTGCCCACGTTATGATCAAATCCCCGTCCCCTGCCCCCCTCCACGTCTCTCATGTCAGAACTATTTTCTTTTATTTGTTTGTTTGTTTCAATCAGTCAATTCACGAACTACGGTCAAACCTGTCTTAGGTGGCACCGTATTGAGCACTTGCACTGTAGTAGACGCCATATTCCCGTGGGTGACTGCTTAATACAAGGTTGACTGAACTGGACAAATAAATTTTGTCCTCACTTCCTCCATCAAACCCAGATTATATCCATTATTGTCCCCATCCCCCCTAATTTCTCACCTTTTCCCCTAGTTGCAGACTGTGGTGTTTTGCTGGAAATTGTTGATGCAAGAATGTCCTAATAAGTACTGGATTAGGATGTTCTGATTAATTAGTACCATGGACAAATTTTTACATACTGTTTCAGATTCAAGACTTGAGGTGTACATTGCAACTATTCAACTCTAAAGTTCAAACTATTCTTTTCTTTTTTTTCTTTAAAGGTTGAAGGTATCTTAGATATATAAACGAGCTGCTCGAAAAACTAATGTTTGATGAGCTGAAGCACTGGGCTGGAACTCAAGGTACAGTACTTTAAACATTTGAAATATAATACTGTTGTATTTGCTGCATTTGTCTTATTCCTTTTATGCAATTAAATTAAATTGCTCTCCAGGTATTGGTGGTTTCCTTCCTGGTGTAAGGCAGATTGCAAATGTTGCAGCTTTGCCTGGAATTGTTGGTGTAAAAATGATCATAACTTTTTCTTGTTGAAATTACAACTTAGTTGAATTGAAACTTGTTCAGTCCTGGGCCCAGTTGTTTGAAGGCTGATAAGTGCTAACCCAGGGTTAAATTTTAATCAGGGTATGTTTAATCCTTTGTTTAAAAGCCTTTTAAAATAATTTACCATAGTTTTTTTTGGGCATCCAATCATCAAATTGCAGACTAAAGGAATTGTACATGTAGACTGAATTTCATTTGAAAGCTTTCAGATATGAAATCAGATTTCACACTGACCATTAGTTATCGAAACTCAGCTTTTAACAAACTGACCCTGTACTTTTGGGAAGCAGAGAAAGTATAAAGTGGAGATGACAAAAGAGTTTCTTGTTATACAGTTTGTGTTTCCATAGAATTTTTACACAAAGATTTCACTTAAAGTGGTGCCAAATAGAGCATCCAGTTATCCAGTTAGATCCAGTTAGATCCAGTTATCCCATGCACGATCTTGAGAACACATGCAAATCAGTTTTTCTGCTTTAAGCAAAAGCCCTTAGAACTGTTTTTCTAGGAGTTTTCTTAAGTTCCTGTTTATTTCCCTCAAAAAACAGGAAAACTGAAAGTGAAAAAAGGCAAATAGAATTAAAAGGCTACGTTTATTATTTAAACTTTATGTGCTGTTATTTACTTCGTCAATGGAGTTCCTAGGCCGCTCATGCAGATCACAACACAATGACTCAGTTTAATTCTAGCCATTCTAGAAGTAACATTCCTTCACTTCTTCTTTGCTTATGGACTACAATTCATTTTACTGTCACTTTGATACCTATTTTTCGACGGTAAACCCTGTTTCAACAGGAAAAGAAAGCTGTTTAAAGGTGAAATCTGAGTAGAAGGAATTGCTTTCTACCATCGGAACACTGTTGAAACACCATACAAACTTGTTTCCAATACCTCTAAATATGGTGCTGCAACCCTGTCAACCCTATTTTTCACAGCACCCTTGCAACTCAGGTATCAAAGTGATGTCAAATTGTTGGTGTGACTGAAAACCCTGTTTCAACGGGAAAAGAAAGCTGTTTTAACAGTGAAATCTGACAAGTAAGAATCATTTTCCACCATACAGTAAATGAAAAATGAAAATGATAATCGTAATGATTTGCATATTTAGTTCAGGGCATGAAATTGCACCTAATACAGGTGCCAATGTGACTAAATTTTTCACTTTGGCGACTAAATCCTGAAAATCAATCACCAAATTGGTGACTAGCATGTTTCATCATAACCTTACCGAGAGATTTAGTGAATTAAAAAGATTTGCAAAGATAAATCCATGGCAAACTTCCTCGTTAAGTTTGTTTTCAAAACACAGCACGTGCATCTCAATCGATGACTTGATGCCAGCTTGGACTTAGGTGAGCTTGAATGTTATTTATCATCCATCCTAGTGTTCACTTTGTAGCACTTTAAAGATCTTTTCCCTAGTTTAATTTTGGAGGGTCTATCTTGGACTGTGACAGTGTAAAAAAAGGTTTTGTTTGTCTTTGAAAATGGCGACCAACTTTTTTTGAATTGGCAACCACTTTGAAGAATTTAGGAGCCTAGTGGCTATCAGAAAAAAATATTAATTTCATGCCCTGTAGTTAGAAAGAAGTAGTCAGCTTTAGGGGTTTTTAGGGCTTTTGAATTCTGATTAGGTATTGTTTCATCATTCTTGTTCTATTATTTTATGTCAGCGCTACTAGATTTGATCAAGTGAATTTGCTAGCTATCTTAGAATTTCATCTCTCCGCAGCCAAGAAGAATGTTGTGATTTACTTAAAAAAAGTATTATCTGGTCCTATCTGCTGTCTGGTGCATTGTTGAAAGCACTTAGCACATATTATTTCCTTTAATTTTGTTAGTTGAGTTCGTGTGCCACTGCACAGTAAAGATAAATTGAGAAAGCCTGCCTGTTGGTTTGTTTGTTTGCACTTCACGAATGAATGAAGACACAAATAGTACAGAACAGAAATGAAGAAGCCCCCTTTTACTTTGACATAGTTTAAAAGTACCTTGAACTATGGAAAATCCCTCTTTGAACATTAACATGATTTGAATTAATTTAAGCCATGAGTTCAACCTAGTATGGTATCTGGGATTGTGGCTTAGTCATCATTATGGGTGGCCGTCACCACCAAAAATACCAGGATGTCAAATAGATCAGTAAAAACAAAGCTGGTTTAAGGATCAGCTGCAGGACAGCATAGCTAATAAAGGAATGGCATGGCCAAATTATAGACAGTTTACTTTTCCTTCATGAAACAGAACACGCTAAACATGAATAGTTTAGCCAAATGATAAACAGTCTAGTTGCCCATGTCGAATTGGAAATTGAAATTGTGAAATGGACTAGCTCAATTGCAAATAACTTAGCACTTAGTGGCCGTCACCACCAAAAATACCAGGATGTCAAATAGATCAGTAAAAACAAAGCTGGTTTAAGGATCAGCTGCAGGACAGCATAGCTAATAAAGGAATGGCATGGTCAAATTATAGACAGTTTACTTTTCCTTCATGAAACAGAACACCCTAAACATGAATAGTTTAGCCAAATGATAAACAGTCTAGTTGCCCATGTCGAGTTGGAAATTGAAATTGTGAAATGGACTAGCTCAATTGCAAATAACTTAGCACTCATTTGCAATACAGTAAACAAATGGTGTAGCGTTGCGTCAAATGGCTCAGGGTAGTGTCAAGTAGCACAGCGTACACACAAACAGTGTAGTGTTGTGTGAAATGGCTCAGTGTAATTTTGAATGGTACAGCTTACACATAAACAGTGTAGCATTGCGTGAGATGGCACAGCATAAATTCGAATGGTACAGCGTACACACAAATGGTGTGGCGTCGCATGAAATGGCTCAGCTTAATGTTGAATGGTATAACGTACACACAAATGATGTAGTGTTGCGTGAAATGGCTGTTGTTATCAGTATCTGTTGTCTACATTGGCAGTAGAAAACAGACAAACAGAGGAGTTTCTTGATCACAGTGCAAATTTCAGGAAGGTAAAAATTACCTTATAATTAAAAAAAATATGTGTAAAAGACATTATAGTTAACTAAAACAATTCTACTGTATAAAATAGTGGGAAATGTTTGTTTCCTGTGTTTACACAAAAACTAGCAACTGTACAGTGCAGAACCCAGCTAGTCTTGAACTCTTGAGGGAAGCAACAATTTGCTCAAGACATACAGCTGGGAGTTTGAGATAGTGGGGTAAATTTGTCTGTGAAACAGGAACAAGGGATGCTGCTCTTTGTTTGAGATAGGGAGTTTTAGATAGCTGAGTTCCAATGGTTATGACTGAGAAAAGCAGGGCAAATCCAAGGGAAATGGGTTTGAGTTCGAGATAGCAGGGTTCAACTGTACCGTATTTACCTGTGTATAATATGCACTTTTTTCTATAAAAATAACCATCAAAATCACAGTGTATTATACACAGATTCTATTGTTTGTCAAGCAGGTCCTAATTTGCATACGTTAAAAAGACAACAAAGAAAGTAACAAAAGCCTAGTAGTAACTGGTCTTTATTAGCTTGAGTTAAATAATCTACCAATGAAACATTTTCAATTTTGATCCACAAACACAACAAAGAAAGTAACAAAAGCCTCATAGTAATTGGTCTTTATTAGCTTGAGTTAAATAAGCTACCAGTGGTGCCTAACCTTGAAGGTATCTCACAGCATTCACAGCAAACAGTCACCAAATTAAGTATTAATGTGTCACAGCAATGCAATTTTTTAGATGCACATTTACTTTACTATTACTAGTAATAATTATTTTGTAAGGTGCAATTCCCAAGTGGCAGTTGTGACCACAACACGTGTGCACTTGCTTAATGGCAATTGTCACAAGAAAATACCAAATGCTTCTACACTGCATGACCCTGTATGCATTATAGACATGTTGGTCTAAAAGAACATAAATATAGAGATTTTAAAAGCATTTCACATTCAGAGGAATTTTGAATTATATTTGTGGCATCAAATATTGTGGTTTCTCTGATGTTGTCTTTGCAAGGGTACACACAGGTACAATTTTGAGTAATGTAAAGTACCTGTGTGTATACCTTCTCTAGGTAACCACACTATAAGAGATAAATTGAAGACATGAAATTTAGATTTCACCAAGTATGGCATAAAATATATCTCCAAATGTTGTCTCTGCAACAGACAAAATACTGAGGAATGACCTGTAATTTGAATATTTAACCAAGTTTGAACTGTATGCAGTTGAACCTCTATTTAAGTGTCTATCACCCTTAAATAGATATTTTCAGAATCAACTCTATGCACATTGAATAGTTAAATGGTGAAATATTTCTTGTTTTTGAATTTACAAAATGCTAATTAGACGACGTCAACCTGGGAATTTGCCATTATTTCTATGCCAACTTACAATGTGCAGTATACAGCTTGAGGATAATTAATTTGATAAATACAAAAAATAAACTGTGGATAGTCAATTGATTGGTAAAAAATATTACTTGGAGGTGAAAACAAGTAGTTGTATAATAAATGATTCCCATGTTGACGTCATTAATTAGCATTTTGTAAATTTAAATCTATATAGCTCAATAACGCGACGTTCAAAACAAATATTTCACAATTTAACTGTTCAATGTGTGTAGAGTTGATTCTGAAAATATAATTGTATTTAAGGGTGGCAGGCACTTTAAGTGGCCATACTTTAATCAGTTACAGCCACCAACTATAACAGTCATTGTTTAATTCTAGAACTGGAGTGTCATGGCAGCAACTTCCAGACATGGTCTGTTCTCGTTATTCAGTGATGACAAACCTCTTCTCAGTTGCCATGATTTAAATATTGTGTATTGTGTCAACCCAGAAGAATCAGGGAGCAGAGCCTTATTCAAATAAATCATGGTGAGTTTGTTGTACTTCCTTAGTGAGCACCCAACTATTCATTTCAGTAAAGCTGTTCAGATGGCGTATGACAGCTAAAATTTGTGTTAGTGGTTTCTATGCTTTGCATTGTTTAATTTAAAGGGGTGAGTGGAATAAAGCGTTGAGTGACTTCTGATCAACTGCTAGATTCTCCTTCCAGTTTATATTGTATATGCTCGTGTAACGAAGGGAGAATTTGGCTATAAATCAGGAGTCACCTAGGGCCTTATTCCAAACATTATTTTGAATAAGGCCCTAAGTGACTCCTGATCTGAAGCCAAATTGTTACATGAGCATATACAAGACAAACTGGAAGGAGAATCTAGCAGTTGATCAGAAGTCACTTAGGGCTTTATTCCAATCACCCCTTCATTTCGCACCGTAAAATTTTCGAACACTACAAACACATGAAATTTGCTAAATTTTCGGTCATTTTTACTAAAAAAAAGGTCACTTAGAAATTTCTGGACAACAATTTTCAGCTGGCATTTTTCGGAAAAATCACATTTTATTCCAAAGAATTTTCGGCTAAGTAAATTTTCAGCTAGAACATGTGAACAGCTAATATTTTTCTAACGATCTGTAGGTTTGTATATGTTTGATAAATACATGCGGCGCAATAATTTTTCCCACATACAGTACCGACAAGAACTGTCCCCCACTAAAATTGCACCAAAAGCAGACCTGAGCAGACCATACTTTCTGAAGTGAACCCAACCAAACTTCAAGCCCATATATAAGCTATATAGGTATGTGCCGCCTAATAGGGTCGGGTTTTTGAGCCTCTGGATCCATAAATAGGGTGTCTTATTCGCGATTCTGGGTCTGCTCATGTTTGCACTGATGTTTGCATGTGAAGTGGGGGTTAGTTCCAGTCGGTACTGTAACTGCAACGACAATCCAATCGGAGGGTTCAATCGACGGTGAGGAAAGAGGCCTCACTACTCTATGTACAGTACCTCTCGCGTATACGTTAGCTGCGCAGGCGAATTTCATACGCTCCGACGCAGGGTAGTCAGACGCGTATATACGATTTTTCTGCACGCTCGGTCGAAAAAAATGCGCGATTCATGTGCCTTTGTTATTCAGTGCTACAAGTTTCCTTTGTATTTCATTGTTGTATGAAACAAAGGACTTCTAAGTTTGAAAAAGCGATGAGTAGACAACGGAAAATTTACATAATGAAATAAAAGCTATCGTGTTACACTCTCGAATGTCGCGTCGCTTCGCGAATTTTTCGGATAACGAGTAGTAGTAGTAGATTGATGTTAAGCCTTCTGATCACCAACTACATTTATGATTTGTAACGTTCATATTTGTCATATTACAGAATATCCAAACTGAGCAGGAATTGTCCCCGGGCCCACCGACGTGCTGGCACACATTGGCTATGTTCCTCGAACAGTCATTCAGTACGCTAAGTACCTTCTAAGAGGCAACAGTAACGTTGAACTTTTCATGGTCAAGGCAATTACTAATATTCTACAAGTACTAGAAGACGAAGCACTGTAGATTCCTGATAGGTGCAAACGTGTGCGCATCAGGTCACTAGCGATGATAAATACTTGCAAGGCTAGTGATCACCATCAACCTTTTCCTGGTCTTGTTTGAAACCACCAGGATTCGATTTGAAAGAAGTATCCGTCGTTAGCCCTCTGATTGAAGAAGCTGTTGTGCAGTTTACGTTGGAAAATCCTAATTATTTGTTGGATGTAGTAAGTATTGATTTTTTTTACTCTGGCGATCAAATCCTGGGGTGGGGGGCCGATACTGAACTGACAGGGGGGCTCGGCCGTACCATTTTGAGTGTAAAATTCCAGATATGGTACTATTTAGGGGGGCTGTTGAAAAAAACAATTTTATAATTAACTTGGTACCATTTAGGGTGTCAATTGATTACTAATTGGAATCTGGTTACCGGTTACCGATTTCAGACTTTCAGTTACCGGTTACCGATTTCAGAATTTCAGTTACAGGCTACCGATTCCCCGTTTGGTAAACAGACAACATTTTTTCCATGCAAAACATTATAGTAAATGTGCTCGACTAGTACCTCGTCTATTAACAACAAATTAAGCGCTAGAATGAGCAGACAACCAAAACATGTCGAATTCTTCATGACACATCTGAAATGGGTAACCGATAACCAGATGCCAATAAGTCAGTCAACTGATTTGTCATGTAAAGCAGAGTACAAAAATATCATTCTCGATCAGCTTTTCAGTCAACCTACAGTGCCTTTTAGGGGTCATTTTTAGGGCCACAGCCGAGCCCCCCTAGTGTCAGTTCAGTATGGGAGCCGAACTCCCCCCCCCCCCCCCACCCCGCCCCACGGGGAACAAATCTGCAGGTTTATAGGCTGGTTAACCGCGGTCAAACGAGAGAAATTTGCAAAAGTTAAACAAAGTACTTAAAGGTTAAGGTAGTCGTTTTCACTGTTTATTAAAGTTTAATATATTGCCAACATATTTACCAAAATTTACCAAACGTTTTGAAAGTTTACCAAAAAAGTTCTAAATACTGTGAACCGCAGAATCGTCGGCGCCATTTGTCAACATAATTTGGATCAGGCGCAAAGAGTTTTGGTCAGTTTTCCACGGAAAAAAAGATCATCATTTTGAGAAAAATTAAAAGGTAATAACGTGAACTAATTTTTTTACTCATCCTTGCTTACATTAAATAAAATCCCACTGAATAAAACGAAAACCGCGTTGGACGTTTGACCGCGGTGGACCAGGCTGGATACATCCCTGCGTTTGGTAAATGAAAGAAATAATTATGGCTTCATTCACCATTCATTCAGCGTGTCACGCCCCAAAGCATAAAGTATAATGAGGCTCCATCTCTTCATCAGGTGGATACCATAAAAGGCCTATCTGCAGGGAGACCTGGCAACTTAGTTGGCAAATATTGGGAGAAGCTGATATTTAGCAATCTCAAGGAATGTGTGAAAAATGAGTATTCCTTCAAGGAAGAGGCATGTGGTTCCACTGCTGCTAGATCCTACTTAAATTTGTGTGGACATCAAAGCAAAACAGATACGAGAAAATCGATAGAGCAGATAACTAGAGATAAATATAGTGCAATGATAGTCCATTGTCCTAATACCAGCGCCTTTGACTTTGTCATCGTTCATAAATGCAACAAAATTCATGCCATTCAGGTAACCGTTCAAACCGCTGCGAAGAAATGTAACGACAGTGACTTTTTCAAGACTGAAAATATTCACTTTACGTATTTACTAGCGCCTTATGAGGTCGACGTCAACGCTATTAAATTGAAATAAAAGTTATATGATGCATATGTGGCGTATGGTTTGCGAATTGTAAATGGTTTGCGAATTGTAAATGGAGCCAGTTTCCTAACTCAGAAAGAATGGAGTTTCCTAACTCAGAAAGAATGGAGTACTTTTCAATTTGGCGTCGAAGCCACTTGAAGATCTGTCTTGGCGTGGATTAATAAAACGGGTATTTCATCTGCAACATGTTTGTTGCCCATGTGGAAAAAGGGACTTCCCTTCTCATGAGGCTTGAAAGAAACCACCCCGAACATACGGAAGATTGCTGAAGTTTACCCCCTCTTATTTTGAAAACGAGCGCGGTGACCCCCATTTTTATTTCATTTATTTCTGAACTTCACTTGTATCGATCTTTGTTTATGCAAAGTTTCAAAACTTTTCTATAAGTCCCGAACTACCTTAAAATATATGCATTAATATATATACTAATTAGACTATTATATATTATTTACGTGCATATAATGAGACGAGATTATACAAACATTGACATGTGTCAAGAACTACAAAAGTAGTTCAAATTTTCTACCGCCATAGCGAACAAAACAAAACTAGACCCTGTGAGCAGGGTAACTGGGATACCTGGATGGTACTGGATCCTTGGAATCAAGTGTAGTTATACTACGGGTGTCGGACTAGTATACTGAAATAGTGCGCTCAAGTCTGGCCAAAGGCATACACCTATTTTAAAACATAGGCATGCTATGCATGCAAGAGTTACTTTTTTGTAGGGTGGGTGGATTACTTGAAACATTGTGAGTGATGTCTACATTCTTACAAAAGGAGAGAAGAATATTAATGTGGGAAAGAACGAAAATGTCGAATTACCTCACTCACAGATATTTTGAGGTAGATTATGTGTGTTTTGCGAATAAATTTAACCAAAAATAAACTGTATTGGTGCCACGGATACCTGTTAGTAAAAATGCAGACAGCAGACTGCAGACCGGATACAAAATATATAGGCTGCAGACTGCAGAGTGGGTACAAAATGCAGACTAAGAATCTGAAGAGTTTTTACGTCTGGTATATAGTAACATGTCATGTCGCTTTTCTGCGACCCCCCTTCACGATTATTTGCACTATTGTGGAATATTCCTGGTCCATTTCTTGATGAAAATCGATCGCAATATTATTTCAAGCCTTCAATATAGTCTTCTTACTTTGCGCGCGAGTTGGTTGGTGTGATGTCTGTACAGATTTTACCAACGTAATAAAAGTAGATGACGTGAATAACAGTGATGGTAAAGCAAGCTTAAAACGGCAGAAATCGCCGGAAAATACAACGGATACACAGGGTATGAGTAATTTTTATTGATTTTACGAGAAAAATGTTCATATTTCGAAATATTTATCGTTGTAAATCGACCATACTTCGTTCCCTATACTATTCCTTATAACGTGTTCAAATTTCCAACAGTTCCTCTCGTAACTTAACACCGAGTCACACAACGCGTGACGCGTTCATGAATTAATCGTTGGCTTTTTCTCGAGACGTGAGCTTGGGCCGCCTGTGACAAGACAATTGCGTAAACAATATTTAACATAATAACATTATACATAAAAAAACACAGGGTTTTGGATCACTTATTTATTAAAAAAGAATGTCCATACAACTACAATGAAAACGAACATAAGATTCACCTTTCTAATCGTGAAATTAATACCATTCGTACTGTTATCGTAACTACGTTTCTTGCCATCAAGTGAATCCAACATGTCGTCTTTCTTCACAAGCAGTTTGCATCCATTATAGTTATGTTCTTCAGTCTCACGGTAGTAGTGTTGTTCAATAGATTGCATAGAGTATATGCAGTTTGGTTTCAGATTTCAGATTTTGCTTTTTACAACGAGTTTACGTTTTCAACTAAGACATTGGCATACTTGGCATACAAAACATACAAGGCATTCAATGCTTTCATGGCTTTCAAGCGTTCGCGATTCTGTCCGATCCAAAGTTACCGCTCAATAACATCTTTTTATGTGGATTGGCCGCGAACAATACGACTTGTGTATGCGTCTATAAGTATTTTGACAGGTATCCCAGTAAAAAACAAAAAAAACAAAGGCATTTTATGACTGGGCTACCACAGGTATCCCAGTAACGAGGTCTGAATTGCCCTTATTCATAATGACGTCACATCAAAACAATCTATTGTTTAAACGCAAAGAATCATGGTCGCGGGAGGGGGACAAAACAGCAACAACACAAAAAAAATTGATATAAAACTCGTTTTATAGACCAAAGAAAAGCGGTGACAGCCATCAAGTGCAATAAATATTGCTTATTAAACATTGGTGCATCTCATATTTGAGTCCCAGGCCATTTGAGTTAAAACATTTCTTACCAGAGCGAGTTTTAAACTAATTTCTATCGTTCTAGACGATTCTTTCCCCCTCATAAACAAGCCCTGACGTCATCATGAATAAGAGCAATTAAAAACATTAAACGGAAAATTTATTGGACGCTAAAAAAATTGACAGTGAAATGAAGAACTTTCTTAATTAAGCATTGTAATAAAGCATTTGTAGCATAGATTTCATAATTCCAAAAAAATATCCATCCCACTCCCGCCCTCACGGATTTCAAACAAAACAGTGACAGTCACATATTAATAAATGGTGAGAATTTATCATTTCCTGAATTTGGCATTTTTTTCCCCCATATGTACTCTAGAGACCTAGCTCTTTCTGTATATGATTTCGATGAACTTCGAGTAATTCACGCTTAACTGCCGCCGAAATGATCACCAAGAAGGGAATAAATTGAGGCTGCAGTTTTTGGACGCACTCAACCTTACAATGGAAGTGTACGTTTCCTAATCGTCCAGTCTTTTGCTCTCCATTCTGCCAATAGGCCCGTCTGGTGCTTGATATTATGACGAGGTCTTCTGGTGGGTTGGGAATAAAAAAGTCTTCACCACGCCTTAGTTTCAAGACACCCTTACACCCGTAACACCTTCTCACCAGAGGGCTGCATCTTTTAAGAAGGCTCAACTGGAAACTACCTTCTTGAACTGCCGGCGTTGATGTGTTGGGGCTATTATTCTGCAGATAAAATAAAATTAATGGCATTTTAGTTAACAGCCAAGATTAGTCGGTGGCTGCGTGGGAATTATGCAACGAGCCGACGGTCTCGCCAGATCCTAAATCCTAATAAACCTTATGTCCTGCAGGCCATTTCTACAATTGAAAGGTTCTGTGATTAGGAGGACTGTTTTGCCGCGCATTATCACTACAAGCTTTATTTGATAGAGTTTTTATTTCGTTCAACCCAATAAGCTCACCAGTTAGTGAAATAGAACGACTTGCACAGAGCTAACATATAGCGGGACTTTACCATGATCATAGCCGATATAAAAAATCAAACGGTTGGCAGCATAATCACACAAAAAAATTTGAAATCTTTCACCGATCTAAAACCCGAGATAACAGAATCACGCATTACACCCTGTATTAACTGTGAATGATCCTTACAATATATACATACCTGAGGCTCTTCTGTGTCTTTTTGTGTTGTTGTCTTCTCTGCTTCCTTCTCTGTGCCTCTGTTTCCTGAGGATCTTACTAAAGTCGACGCCGGATTCGATGCTGATTGGTCAGTTGGAGAGGTGTTAGTGTAACTCTCCACAACTTCCTCTCTTTTTTTATTTGTAGCACCTTTCCTTCTTTGTGTTGCCTTGGTCTTTTTTGACCCACGTCCAGGAGGGAGGTCCATGTGAATCAAGGCATCCACGTTAGGAGGCCTTTGGTTCGTTGTCTTGTAACAATGAACGAACTCAGTCAATGAACGACCCATTTCAGCCACAGCTAAAGTATGAGCACAAATGTCATACGCTTTAAAATCGATACAAGTGCCGCTGCACACATAATATGTTCCACGTCGCACGGTACGTTTCTTGCAAACTGCATACGATGGAGCATCAATTGCCTCGTTTGCCACATAACGTGGCAAATTGTCCCCTCTTCCAGGATCGGGATGAATATTTTCTTCTTTGCGCGCCAAAATCAACGATGCACGATGGTACATACGTGCTAGAATACTGAAGGGAACCCGGATAATGCCAAAATCTTCTAGAGGCAAACTCAATGGTGACATTGTGTCCGCTTCATTTGTGTTTTCCAGGTCGATAAGAATTATGTCAACTGTCTTTACTGAGAGATTGTGAAATTTTTTGAGCGCCGCTTCTTGTTGCGCTCTCGCCTTCCTGTAAAAGACAGATTCCTTCATTCCCTCTTCCTCGTAATTTTTGTCCATTTTTAGCTCTCCGAGCCAATAAATGCTAAATCCTCTTCTGTTCTCTGTCTTTTCACCACCGTCTGCAGCAACCTGGCAAATTCGGGAATAGAAAGCTTCCTTTTCCTTGTAAGTTGTTTCTCTCTTTGTAGAACCGAGTTCATACATTCATTTCCGTTCTGATCGTATACACTGGTGGCCAGCCTAGACCAGCCATGGATCTCAATTCAGCTGTCATCGTTTGCCTTATAATTTCGGCTTTGTACTTACAAAAGTAAGTAACAAAGCGCTCTGAGAGTGGGTGTAAGGAAAGCCACTCCTCCTTCATTTTTTTCCAGATTGGTCACGAACTGGGCGTGGCTTTCCGAGTCTATAAGACCAGGAACCCTCTTACAACCAATATCTCCTCCGAAGATGTCACTTAGAATGACTTCTGATGGTTTGCCCCGTATTCCAAGTTCGTTCATTTTTGACACTATGTTTTCTTTCATATGCAGGTCACAGAGTAAATGCTGGGCATAAGGGAGAGGTCTACCGAAACCCTCACCCAATGCCTTTTCTCCGTCAGTACCATATACTAGAACATTTTGGGTTTTTGCATTTAGCTTTATCATGGTAGACGAGAGCTCGTAATATCTGGATGGTTCTTTTTTGTGGTGAACTAGGGTTGGTCCAATCCGGACTGGATTCTTGTCTTCTTTGGTTCGGAGAAGGAGATGCCTGTATGTAGTAAGAGTCACATAATAGTCTCCAAAAATTGAAAATGGGATCGACTCCTAAAATACTGAACTGGCTAGGATTTGTGCAAAATCTTTCCACGCCCTTAAGTTGCTGGTCAGTGGTTAGGACAACACAAGGATCTGACGAGGTCTCTACTTTACGGACGAAGGCGTTCTCTTTGTCTCTGTTTCCTTGCTTCGCATGTCTATCAGCTCGAGTGTAGAATCCCCAGGTTGCTCTTCCATGGTTTTTTTAATGTTCTTTATCTGTTGTACGTTTCTGGCATGGCTAGCTGCGTTTATAAAGTTTGAACTTGTTCCCTTTTCTTCGATACTCTTGAAAAACACCGTCTTGGGAGGGTCAGATTTCGCGAGCTCTTTTAACCGCTCCATGGTAGTATGCGAAGTGCGGTAATACTCTTTGGAAAGACTTTTAGAATTTCCATGTGGTTTAACTTTAACTTCGTGTTCATTATCATCAAAAACATATTGCAGAAGAGCAAAACCGTGAATCGTTCCGTTGGAATCTGAAAAAGGAGAAGATGAAAATTAATAAAGGTTTTGATATTTGAATGCACTTGGTAACCAGATGTTGTGCACTGGTGTGATATGCTGTATTGATTAAAACCCCCTTTTGCTGGTCAGATTTGTTACATTATGACTAATAAGGACGTAAATTGTTTTTACGGTGAGGTTTTGAAGATGGACGTTTTTCACTCGAATATAGAAAAATTTTGTTTTGTTTTGTTTTAGTCGATAATTTTGTTTCCTATTTTTGGCCACACACCACTTTTCGGAGCACGCCATAGTTTACTTATTTCACTTGAGCAGTTTGATCTTTGGTTTGAATTGACTTTCTCTTTCTTCGGAAGCTTTTTTCATGATCCATGTTACAAATGTCTTACTAACCTCAACTGTTTATTCATTGTAGCAGGAACCTCTCAAACTGAGGCCTTGTCGTAATGACCTCGCTATCGCTAGGTTAATACCGCTAGGCCTCCACTCAAAGTTTGAGATTTTTCTATAAGGACCTCACTGTTATTTATTTGTTAAAATAGTCTTACCTGTCAGATAAATGAAAATCCTTTGCAAATCGGGGGAGGATTCATTCCTGTAGAAGCTTCTCGTACATTTATAGACCTGTGCCTCATGATCATCATATTCTGATTGGGAAGGCTTACGAACAGGATTCCTCTTGTTGGAAGCACGGTAGTATCATACTATATACTATATAGTATATGATACTATAATACATCGCTGTTTCGTTCCAGTTGGATTCCATGCACCAAGGTCGTCGCCAGAACATTTTTAAAGTGCTTTATGTGTGGGGCAGATATTTCCACCACAAAGACAGAATTTTCGGAGACAGCGGAAGGAACAGCACGTGCAATAAGTTCTCGAGGCGGATGGAAGAGGATATCTACCACTTTCCTGGAAGCCAAACCCGTAAGCAATCCCTGTCGGTAGATGGGAAACATTGGGTCGTCGTTCAAGTAATCAGTTCCTTGTTCGTCTTCACTGCTATCGCTGGAGTCGTTCAACTGGTGTGTCAGCACTTTCTTATTTACCTTTTCAGCCACATTTCTATGGAAGACAGTAAAAGAATTTCATAGGTTTCTCAAACGCCACAGCGGGAGAGCAAAATTCTCTAACGTTTCGTGCAAGGTGTGGTGATCGCTCACCGACATCGTTTTGAAATAATCAGACAATTAAAATATACCCTTCAGAGTTAATTGTTCGTAAACGCGTTCAATGACTTCACTGTTACTACGGAAATTTTATGGTATATATATTTGAGTGACTCACTTTTCTGATGCAAAGACTGGTTTGAAAAGGCACTCATCGCTGTCGCTCGTCTCAATATCCACACACACCCTTGATAAGAAAAAAAAATCAGACTGATTTATTATTAGGTATGATTGTTTGAATTGTATGAAATAATTTAAATACTCCAGTCGAAAGTCGAGAGCAGTATTCTTGATTGTAACTTTTGTTAATTGAAAGTTCAGGTCGCATTGGCCACCGGAAAACTTGCTCGAGCAAACGACCGTCGAGTTTCGATTAATACAAGCACAAAAAAGCCCATTCTCTTGATAATAAAATATATTGTACGGAAACGTAAAGGAGGGCACCAATAATATTGGCAACCAGTGTTACCTTTTGACTGGCGAATCAATGAGCGTCAAGTTTACTTTCTCAACCACAGCGGTTTTCTCATGAGGTATTTTGCCTGTAGTCTTGTCACAGTTGTCATCATGCTAGAAGAGAATATGACGTCAAATTCAGGAAACAAGCACTAGCAGAGGACCCAACCAATTTTCTTTTTTGCAAGAGGCCTACTTCTCTATACGGGAATCAACCTAAAGGGAGAACTGAGGACTCCTCTTCACAGTGCATGTTGCGTTTTATAAATCAAATCATTTTATATTACACTCCCGGGATTTTCTACCAATCAAATATTTTTCCAAGTTAATTTAACTTCAAAACCCTCTGCTTCCAGATACTAAAAAGTGTATTTTTAACAGATGAACTGAAGCGCGTGACTAATATAGCAGTACAGGCTTAAATGGGGTAACATTGGCCCATTGTAAGCCGTCGAATGCCAAAAGATTCAAACTTCAATTTTCAGGATTCAAAGTTCCAAATTACCTGACAAAAATTTGATTTTTGTCGCCCGTGAAAATAGATCCTTCTCACGTGCTCTTATTTTCACGATCGTGATCGGAGCGCGAGATCTGGCCATCTACGCAAGCCTTGGTTTTCGCGTTAACAGTCCACTTAAACAATTCAAGTTCTGTCAAGTAAAATTTTGACAACGATAAGAACATTTTACCATTAAAACAATCCCCAAGAACAGGAGACTCAGCGGTTACTTCTGCATCACAACGAATAACGTCGCAAATTGCTCATAACATTTCCTATATGGTTTGTGCCATTTCACTGAAAGGTTCGTGCCAACTTGCACAGGTTATTTTAAACGCAGCCCGAAAATACTTACCCGAACACGCTTGTTCTCCTTTTTGTACTTGCAGCAGAATCTCGAAGTGGGTTCTTCATCGCCTGAACTATCCACCTACACAAGCAGACTACTTGTCATTTTTTAATTAACAGACTGAAAAAGCCATCCTTAGCCCAACAGATTGCCCTTCCCTGGATTTGCCCTTAAATAACATGTCATTCTCCATGTCAACACCCTAAGAAATATATAGAGAACAGTATGCATGGAGAATATGCATACTAACGTTAAGGCGTAAATTTTTCTAACTAAAAAGGAAATTTAGACGAATGGCACCTTAAACTGAGGGGGATTTGCAAATAACCTTTTAGAGTTTGACTGTTAAAGAGATACGTTGGACATAATAAAGACACTTCACCTCCATTAAGCGCCTTCATAATTTTCTTGTATGATCCCATTTCTTCTGGGCCAACAAGAACGACACTCAGACCCTCCCTGCTTGCTCTAGCTGTCCGTCTACTGCGGTGAATGTAAAGCTGTCAACGAACACAGAGAAAGAATTTAGGAACGCAGAATCACATAAGATGGTTGCGCTAAAGTTAATACTTACATTGTGGTTACATTACACAACAGTTCATTATTAAATGAGATACAACTGAGGACGATAAACAATAACAAACTACTCCTCTCATATAAACTGCATTTGAACAGAGTCAATTTTTTTCCTAAATCAAAACTCATTAACTGAAATGAATTGTTTTGATTTCGGTAGGTGAACCTCACACATTAACTCAAATCGGAAACAAAACAAAGATTTAGAAAATGAAGTTTTAGAAATAACTAAATATATGCAATTAAATAAATTTAGAGGTAAATAAAGAATTCAGGCGTCAACGGCGTTCGAACTTTGCTATCCACATTCTGGTTGAGCTTCTCTTACAGTTGAGACTTGTAGCCCACACCTTGGTCAACGCATGGTTGGTTGAAGCAGTGTGACTTCCGAAGCCTTTTGTCAAGGTAGAGTTTTGCGGAGAATGAAAGCACTGCCGCCAAAAAGCAATCGCTCCCGTTCCCGCCTGCCGCACAGGCTAACCAACTGCACAAGCTAACCAACCGTACACACATACTTACACGTACTTACATCAAGGTCCTTCGGAACTTGATAGTGAATCACATGCTCAACAGCTGGTATGTCCAAACCTCTTGCGGCCACATCTGTAGCCAGCAGTAAGCCACTCGCACTTTGCTTAAATTTAACAGGCAAGAAAAGAATCAGCCAAAATTCCATTTGGCAATTATCTTAGTTTTAATTCTCATGTCCAATACACCCAATCTGACTCAGGAGACAAGTCATTCCATTTGAGTCAGGTTGAGGATTATTATTAAGCGTCTTGAAAATCGACTTGTAGTAAGACATTTCCACCTTAAGAGGCACGGTTTATTCAGATTTCCAGTATCACAAGATGACTTAACCACTAATTAACTTCTGGTGGGTCGATTTGTGAACGACTCAACCCAATTTGGATGTATTGGACAACCCTCAACATTTAATAATTAAAGATAAGTTATAATAAAAAATAAATAAACAAAATAATTTAAAAAGATAATTTTTCCCAATTTCTCGTAAAATACAAGGGTAATTTCACCACGTGCTTGAAGTGAATCTTACATTTGTATCTTCTAAATTTAACTATGCGGTATGTTTTAAAGCACTTTAAGCAATTCACCTCCTACAGCGGCCATTCTTTTATTTTCTTCTTCTGAGCTGGTCCACCTGCACCAATTCCTGCTAGCTCTTCTGGATGATAATCTTCCATGACTTCAAGGGATATAAATCCATCCATTTCGCCCGCAAAGAACGAAGGATTGTCCAATTCTACTGGTTCCCATTTTCGCTTCTTCCCTTTCGAATTCTTCTCTGTCACTATGGAGCAATGAACAAAGAGCTTTAATTGAGAAACTGAATCTAAACGTTTTTTTTAAATAACAAACAACCGTTTTGGTTTATCCCTAGAGAATTAATAAAAACACTCTCACGTCGTCTGCCATTATGGATTACCCGCCAGAGAAGGACTGGATAAGAAATTGTACTGCGCGCATATTCAAACGAGAGTCGTGCGCTGATTTATTGCTACATGACTTTACTCCCTTCGCCGAGTTCACTGAAACCTTTGTGAAACGTGAATGAAAAGACTAACATGGCGAAAGAACACCGTACATTCAAAGAGAAGTGCATTTATATTGAGCGCTTAAACGAAAACTCGTTTCTTATCAAGAAAGGCTTTGTCCCAAACATGAAGGTAAGTGAACGCGCGCCAAACATCAGATCGGAAGCTCAACTCCAGCTGAGTAGCGTGCGCGTCACAATACTCGTCTAACGATGTCATACTTGAGAATGTTAATAATAAGCTATGGTCATCGAAATAAATCCCCTTACACCTGCCATATCCGTCAAAGTAATTTCCTTCTTTGAAATAAGTTTTGTCACAAAGGAAAATTGTTTCTGGGACAACTGAACCCAGGAACCTTTTCTGCCCACGTTATGATCAAATCCCCGTCCCCTGCCCCCCTCCACGTCTCTCATTTCAGAACTATTTTCTTTTATTTGTTTGTTTGTTTCGATCAGTCAATTCACGAACTACAGTCAAACCTGTCTTAGGTGGCAACGTATTAGTTTTGTCCTTTAAGACGCGAGAGAGCAAGATAGTGAGTCTGAGTCCAGTAAGCTTCTTTGAACACAAACTTTAATTACTTGAGAGGCAGGTTACCTTTAGAGCTAACGAAACAACAACAACGCGATAGCGACTCTCTTATTATAAAATGTTTCTTTGTCGTGTAACCCGAGAACTGACACGTGAGTAGTCCGAAGTGATTACATAACCAGTCCAGAAAGTTACATAACAGTTGAGAGTTACATAAGAAAGAAAAAGCAAACGTTGATGTCCGGAAGGTTTTTTGCATATCATAACATCTTTCCCTTTTTCCTATTTTTTTCTTTTTTTTTTTTTTTTAACTATAACTCAATGTCAAACTTTTTAGGTGGCTTGATCAATCGTCCATGTCGTGTCCGTATTTCAGTTGTAGTAGCTTCGTGAGGTGGTCTTGCACTCAGCTCTGTTTGAGGTGTTGGGGGTAGTTGAGATCTTGGAGGGGACAGGGATGTTCCTACTTGAGAACTTGCTGGAGGGGGTTGGTCCTGTTCCTGCAGATTGTCTGGAACGGTCAGGTCATCTTCGTCCATTTTGAAGGGGGTTTCTTGAAGTGGTTCCATGGTAGAACGCAACTGCTTGCGATTACGCCTGTAGAATCTACCATTGACTTCAACCTTGTAACTGCGAGATGCCACTTTAGAAGAAACAACTGCTTTTGACCACTTTGTTTCTCCAGGCATCTTCATGCGCACTATGTCACCTGATTTGAGTTCTGAGAGTTGTTTAGCATGTTGGTCGAAATGTTTCGCTTGCTTGACACGATCCCTTTTGAGAAGATCACTAACTGTTTGGTCAGTCTTGAGTAAAGACTCTGAGAAGGGTAGAAGTGTCTTAGTTCGGCGACCAAAAAGTCGTTGGCATGGAGACATACCTGTCGCAGCAGTGGGGGTGTTGTGGTGATCCAATAAACCAAGATATGGATCGGATTGAGACAGAAGAGCTTTCTTCATTAAAGTCTTGCAGGTTTTGACTGCGCTTTCGGCCATCCCATTAGCTTGTGGATAGTGTGGTGAGGTGGTGATATGAGTGAACTTCCACGTTACTGCAAATCTTCGGAACTCTGAGGATGAGTACTGAGGACCGTTGTCAGAAACTACGTAATCGGGTACCCCATGTCGCGAAAAATGCATCTTCAGCTTGTGAACGACTGTCTGGGACGTAGTATCGGCAAGATGATCCAGCTCGATAAAGTTGCTGTAGTAATCAACTAATACGAGGTAGTTTCGGTTCTCGAAGGTAAACAAATCTGTTCCAATTCGTTGCCATGGCCTGTCAGGAACTGGGTGAGGCTGAAGAGGTTCACTGGCTTGTTCAGGTCTCACACTTTGGCATATAGAGCATTTATCAATACGATTCTTGAGTTGTGCAGACATTCCTGGCCAGAAGAAAACCTCTCTGGCCCTTCGAAGGCATGCTTGGAGTCCCTGATGGGACTTGTGTGTTTCCTCTATCATGTCACGGCGAAGGCTCTCTGGGACAACGATCTTCGTTCCTTTGAAAACTAGGCCATTTTGGAGCGTCATTTCATCTCGGTATTTGAAGAAAAGCTGTGCGCTTGTAGGTACCATGGAAGTTTTTGTAGGCCAGCCAGCGCGTATAACTTGTGACAACGCTAGTAAAGATTCATCCTTGGCCGTTTCCACTTGAAACTTGGCAAGTGTCGACTCTGATATCGATAAGTCTTCAACAAAGTTGACAGTTTCTAGATCTTTATAGCAGGATGAGGTGCTAGCATTTGGTACCTTTGACTGCTTAGGTAGAACGCGAGAAAGTGCGTCAGCGATGTACATCTCTTTGCCTGGCTTGTAAGTGAGATTCAGGTCAAATCTTTGAAGACGTAGCATCATACGCTGTAATCTCTTAGAAGCTGTATTGATTGGCTTCTTCTGTATAGCAATCAGTGGCTTGTGATCTGTTTCGACTGTGACGTGCTTGCCATAAATGTAATGCTCGAAGTGCTCACAAGAGAATACAACAGCTAAGAGCTCCTTCTCAATCTGTGCGTAATTTTGCTCTGTCGACGTCAGTGCCCTGTTGGCGTAGTGAACTGGCTGTCCTTCCTGAAGTAGAGTTGCGCCAATGCCATACTGTGAGGCATCGCACTGTATAGTGACATTCTTACTCACGTCAAAGTACTGTAGGACTGGGGCTTTAGTGATGAGCTCTTTTATCTCCTTGAAGGCTTTATCTTGGGGGTGTTGCCAATGCCATTCTATTTCCTTCTTTTCCAACTGTCTTAAGGGCTGTGATGCTGTAGACAGATGTTGGCAGAATTTCGCCAGATACTGCACCATTCCCAGAAACGTTCTGAGTTCAGCGAGATTGGTAGGCACTGGATAGTCCACTATAGCTTGTACCTTTGACGGGTCAGGTTTTAGACCTTCCGCTGTAAGGAGGTGTCCTATGAAAGGAACTTGTGACTGTCGAAGTTTCAACTTCTCGCTGTTGAGAGTGAGGTTTCTTTCTCTTGCGCGACTGAGGAAAGCCTTGAGATTCTGATCATGGTTGGCAATTGCAGCTTCATTAGAGTCTCCAAAACCGCAAACTAGGAAATCATCGGCGATGACTTCAACACCTGCGAGTCCTTCTACTAGCTCGTGCATTCGTTGTTGCCATACTTCTGGGGCTGAGTTTATTCCGAATGGCATTCTGAGCCATCGATAGCGACCAAAAGGTGTGTTCATGGTTGTCAAGTAACTACTCTTTTCATCAAGTTGTACCTGCCAGAATCCACATTTGGCATCTAACACGCTAAAGACTTTAGCACCACTAAGGCGAGTTGCTACTTCCTCAATAGTTGGAAGTGGATAATGCGAGCGTTTCACTGCGCGGTTGAGATCTCGAGGATCCAGACCTACTCGTATTTTCCCGTTAGATTTCTTCACTATGACAAGGCTAGAGACCCATGATGTCGGTTCAACTACCTTGGCGAGGATACCACTCTTCACCATGTTATCTAGCTCTAACTTGAGGGTATCTCGAAGTGGGACTGGCACTTTACGAGGGGGATGTACCACCGGGCGGAAACCTTCGTCCACTTGAATGGAGTAGGTTCCTTCAAGGCAGCCAATTCCAGTGAAGATATCGGTAAATTCATATAGGATAGGATCACTTCTAACATTTGACGAGACGTCAATTCTTTCGTCGTGAATCGCATTTACGTCAGCATCCAAGATTTTGACCAGGTTCATCTTTTCACACGTCGTTCGACAGAGGAGGGGTGTCAAATCTTGCTTCACAATGTGATAAAGAACTCCATATTTTCTTCCTTTCCGTTCAGTAAGTAGGCGGATTTGACCAAGTGGCCAGACTACAGTCTTGTTGTGCATGATGAGCCTTGTAAACGACTGTTCAAGGTTTGTACACTGTTTGTCTCCTGTAGCCCGGATGTAGGCACTTTTGGGGAGAATATTACATGAAGCACCTGTATCAATCTGAAGTTGTACTTGGGCATTATTGTTAAGGCACGCCGTTACATAAGCTGATGTGGGGGAGGGTTTGTGGCTGTAGATTTCACAATCTTGTACGTGATTGACAGAGCGAGAGTGGCATTTTTTTGCAAAGTGTCCGTCTCTGCCACATTTGGTGCATTTCTTGCCAACTGCTGGACAAGCTGACTTTTTCATCTCGTGAACAGTACCACAAAACTTGCATTCTCGTGTGTATACATTGTCGGGGTTACCAGAACTTTTTTCTCTTGACTTCCACGGAGGAGTCCGCTTCTTACCTGAAGTGTGTTTATGCGGTGTTGTATCCTCAGTCTGGGTCTTAGGCGGTTTCGTTTTCTTGGCTTTTACCCTATTCACATTAGCTTCTTCAGTTGTCATGTCTAAAGCGCGTATATCAGTTAGCTCTTGTGTTCGCAGGATATCCAACGCGTTATCCAAAGTGAGATCTTTCTTCTCTAAAAGCTTGCGTGACCGATCATTCTTGACTCCAAGGATGAGGCGGTCTCTTATCAAGCTGTCTCTTAGGGTTAGGAACCCACAGTGTTCAGAAAGGCGCATCAGTGCTGTGCAATATTGATCGACACTTTCTCCTGGTTCTTGCTCTCTCTTGTTGAAGAGGTACCGTTCATACGTCTGATTTCGCTGCGGCAAACAACGAGATTCAAACTTAGCCAGGACGTCATCAATATTGTCAGCGCTTTCGTCTTCAGCGAAGGTAAAGGTGTCAAACAATTGGACTCCTTCTCTTCCAACGATGTTAAGAAAATGAGCAACACGGACTGGGCCGTCCTTTTGACTTATCCCAGCCGCCCGTTCATAGATTTGCCATGCTCTCTTAAAGTGTAACCAGTTATCGCCTCTACGTGACCTGTCTTCGAGATTAAGAGGATCTGGAGGTTTGGCTAGCGGTACTGTGGTGGTATAGATCGGTGCAGCAGCCGATGAACCAGAAGGTTGCTGACTAGCAGAGGTCGAGGTCATGACCAATATAAAATAAACTTCCACCAACAACAACAAAGCTCGTGAAACGTGACTCACCTCCTGACACCAAGTTTTGTCCTTTAAGACGCGAGAGAGCAAGATAGTGAGTCTGAGTCCAGTAAGCTTCTTTGAACACAAACTTTAATTACTTGAGAGGCAGGTTACCTTTAGAGCTAACGAAACAACAACAACGCGATAGCGACTCTCTTATTATAAAATGTTTCTTTGTCGTGTAACCCGAGAACTGACACGTGAGTAGTCCGAAGTGATTACATAACCAGTCCAGAAAGTTACATAACAGTTGAGAGTTACATAAGAAAGAAAAAGCAAACGTTGATGTCCGGAAGGTTTTTTGCATATCATAACAGTATTGAGCACTTGCACTGTAGTAGACGCCATATTCCCGTGGGTGACTGCTTAATACAAGGTTGACTGAACTGGACAAATAAATTTTGTCCTCACTTCCTCCATCAAACCCAGATTATATCCATTATTGTCCCCATCCCCCCTAATTTCTCACCTTTTCCCCTAGTTGCAGACTGTGGTATTTTGCTGGAAATTGTTGATGCAAGAATGTCCTAATAAGTACTGGATTAGGATGTTCTGATTAATTAGTACCATGGACAAATTTTTACATACTGTTTCAGATTCAGGACTTGAGGTGTACATTGCAAGTATTCAACTCTAAAGTTCAAACTATTCTTTTCTTTTTTTTCTTTAAAGGTTGAAGGTATTTTAGATATATAAACAAGCTGCTCAAAAAACTAATGTCTGATGAGCTGAAGCACTGGGCTGGAACTCAAGGTGCAGTACTCTAAACATTTGAAATATAATACTGTTGTATTTGCTGCATTTGTCTTATTCCTTTTATACAATTAAGTTAAATTGCTCTCCATGTATTGGTGGTTTCCTTCCTGGTGTAAGGCAGATTGCAAATGTTGCAGCTTTGCCTGGAATTGTTGATGTAAAAATGATCATAACTTTTTCTTGTTGAAATTACAACTTAGTTTAATTGAGACTTGTTCAATCCTGGGCCCAGTTGTTTGAAGGCTGATAAGTGCTAACCCAGGGTTAAATTTTAATCAGGGTATGTTTAATCCTTTGTTTAAAAGCCTTTTAAAATAATTTACCATAGATTTTTTAGGGCATCCAATCATCAAATTGCAGACTAAAGGAATTGTACATGTAGACTGAATTTCATTTGAAAGCTTTCAGATATGAAATCAGATTTCACACTGACCATTAGTTATCTAAACTCAGCTTTTAACAAACTAACCCTGTACTCTTGGGAAGCAGAGAAAGTATAAAGTGGAGATGACAAAAGAGTTTCTTGCTATACAGTTTGTGTTTCCATAGTATTTTTACACAAAGATTTCACTTAAAGTGATGCCAAATAGAGCATTCAGTTATCTAGTTAGATCCAGTTAGATCCAGTTATTTCATGCACAATCTTGAGAACACGTGCAAATCAGTTTTTCTGCTTTAAGCAAAAGCCCTTAGAACTGTTTTTCTAGGAGTTTTCTTAAGTTCCTGTTTATTTCCCTCAAAAAACAGGAAAACTGAAAGCAAAAAAAAGCAAATAGAATTAAAAGGCTACGTACATGATTTAAACTTTATGTGCTCTTATTTACCTCATCAATGGAGTTCCTAGGCCGCTCACGCAGATCACAACACAATGACTCAGTTTAATTCTAGCCATTCTAGAAGTAACATTCCTTCACTTCTTCTTTGCTTATGGACTACAATGCTTTTACTGTCACTTTGATACCTATTTTTCGATGGTAAACCCTGTTTCAACAGGAAAAGAAAGCTGTTTAAAGGTGAAATCTGAGTAGAAGGAATCGCTTTCCACCATTGGAACACCGTTGAAACACCATACAAACCTGTTTCCAATACCTCTAAATATGGTGCTGCAACCCTGTCAACCCTATTTTTGACAGCACCCTTGCAACTCGGGTATCAAAGTGATGTCAAATTGTTGGCATGGCTGAAAACCCTGTTTCAACAGGAAAAGAAAGCTGTTTTAACAGTGAAATCTGACAAGTAAGAATCGTTTTCCACCATAAATGAAAAATGAAAGAGATAATCATAATGATTTGCATATTTAGTTCAGGGCATGAAATTGCGCCTAATACAGGCACCAATGTGACTAAATTTTTCACTTTGGCCACTAAATCCTGAAAATTAATTGCCAAATTGGCAACTAGCATGTTTCATCATAACCTTACCGAGAGATATAGTGAATTAAAAAGATTTGCAAAGATAAATCCGTGGCAAACTTCCTTCCTCAATCGATGACTTGATGCCAGCTTGGATTTAGGTCAGCTTGAATGTTGTATATCATCCATCCTAGTGTTCACTTTGTAGCACATTGAAGATCTTTTCCCTAATTTAATTTTGGAGGGTCTATCTAGAACATCGACAGCGTGAAAAAGGTTTTGTTTGTCTTTGAAAATGGTGACCAACTTTTTTTGAATTGGCAACCACTTTGAAGAATTTAGGAGCCTAGTGGCTATCAGAAAAAAAAATTAATTTCACGCCCTGTAGTTAGAACGAAGTAGTCAGCTTTAGGGGTCTTTAGGGCGTTTGAATTCTGATTAGGTATTGTTTCACGACTTTTGTTCTATTATTTTACATCAGCGCTACTAGATTTGTTCAAGTGAATTTGCTGGCTATCTTAGAATTTCATCTCTCCGCAGCCAAGAAAAAAAATCTCACATGTCATGATTTACTTAAAAAAAAGTGCTATCTGGTCCTATCTGCTGTCTGGTGCATTGTTGAAAGCACTTACCGTAATTTCCGGTCGTTTACCCGCGGGTAATCTGCTGATTTTGCATTAAACGCGCGCCACTGCGGGTAATAGGGAGGTGCGGGTTATGTGACAATTTTAAAATCCAGTGGTAGTTGAATTGAAAAAAATATCACCAACATGCGTTTCCACCTCTCAAGTAAATTTTATTGTGTTAATAGTGCCGCAAAGCGGCACGAAAACATGATGCCGACTCGAGTTTATTTCACGCATAATTAGTTGCGCGACGAACAAATTATTATCGGCACGCGTGAAAACAAAACCTTGATGGTGACAAAAATTATCCATAGATAAGTCAGTAACAAATTTCCATTTAACACTAGCTTGAGCTAAAGAGAATTTTCCCGTTTTAAGGGACTTGTTAGGCCCAATAGAACCGGAGTTATCGACTTTTTCAGAAATCGCCGACAGTACTTTATAATTCAAGTTTTAATACTCACCCAGCTTTTTTTCAACAAATCAACATAGCGCTGAACGATCGCTCGCACAAAACGTGGCCACAAATTCGCATTCTGTCAAGTATGAAACGTTGAGATTTGGGCATGGGCCGCTAGTGTTTTTACTGTATAATCTTATCACTAAAGTACATGCTAATATTGACACAGAATTGTGCACGCGTCTGAATTTCTTTGACCTTTAAACTCGACAAAGACGCTTTCAAGTTTTCGAAAGTTGGATCAGACAACTTTTAAAAGACTGAAATGTATCACCTTAATGTCACGTTTTCGCCACCAAAAAGTTGAATAACAACGTGCGGGTTATCCACCAGTGCGGGTAATCTGTTGACTTTTTTTTTCGCCATATGCAATAATCGGCCGGTGCGGGTAATCGGCCGTGCGGGTAAACGACCGGAAATTACGGGTAGCACATATTATTTCCTTTAATTTCATCAACTGAGTTCGTGTGCTGCTGCACAGTAAAGATAAATCGAGAAAGCCTGCCTGTTGGTTTGTTTGTTTGCACCTCACAAATGAATGAAGATACAAATAGTACAGAACAGAAATGAAGAAGCCCCCTTTTACTTTGACATAGTTTGAAAGTAACCTACCTTGAACTATGGAAACTCCCTCTTTGAACATTAACATGATTTGAATTAATTTAAGCCATGAGTTCAACCTAGTATGGTATCTGGGATTGTGGCTTAGTCATCGTTATGGGTGGCGGTCACCACCAAAAAAACCAGGATGTCAAATAGATCAGTAAAAACAAAGCTGGTTTAAGGATCAGCTACAGGACAGCATAGCTAATAAAGGAATGACATGGCCAAATTATAGACAATTTAGTGTTCCTTCATGAAACAGAACACCCTAAACATGAATAGTTTAGCCAAATGATAAACGGTCTAGTTGCCCATGTCGAATTGGAAATTGAAATTGTGAAATGGACTAGCTCAATTGAAAATAACTTAGCACTCATTTGCAATACAGTAAACAAATGGTGTAGCGTTGCGTCAAATGGCTCAGGGTAGTGTCAAGTAGCACAGCATACACACAAACAGTGTAGTGTTGTGTGAAATGGCTCAGTGTAATTTTGAATGGTACAGCTTACATATAAACAGTGTAGCATTGCGTGAGATGGCACTGCGTAAATTCGAATGGTACAGCGTACACACAAATGGTGTGGCATGGCATGAAATGGCTCAGCTTAATGTTGAATGGTATAGCGTACACACAAATGATGTAGTGTTGTGTGAAATGGCTGTTGTTATCAGTATCTGTTGTCTACATTGGCAGTAGAAAACAGACAAACAGAGGAGTTTCTTGATCACAGTGCAAATTTCAGGAAGATAAAAATTACCTTATAATTAAAAAAATATGTGCAAAAGACATTATAGTTAACTAAAACAATTCTACTGTATAAAATAGTGGGAAATGTTTGTTTCCTGTGTTTACACAAAAACTAGCAACTGTACAGTGCAGAACCCAGCTAGTCTTGAACTCTTGAGGGAAGCAACAATTTGCTCAAGACATACAGCTGGGAGTTTGAGATAGTGGGGTAAATTTGTCTGTGAAACAGGAACAAGGGATGCTGCTCTTTGTTTGAGATAGGGAGTTTGAGATAGCTGAGTTCAAGATAGCCAATGGTTATGACTGAGAAAAGCAGGGCAAATCCAAGGGAAATGGGTTTGAGTTCGAGATAGCAGGGTTCAACTGTACTGTATTTACCTGTGTATAATATGCACTTTTTTCTATAAAAATAACCATCAAAATCACAGTGTATTATACACAGATTCTATTGTTTGTCAAGCAGGTCCTAATTTGCATACGTTAAAAAGACAACAAAGAAAGTAACAAAAGCCTAGTAGTAACTGGTCTTTATTAGCTTGAGTTAAATAATCTACCAATGAAACATTTTCAATTTTGATCCACAAACACAACAAAGAAAGTAACAAAAGCCTCATAGTAATTGGTCTTTATTAGCTTGAGTTAAATAAGCTACCAGTGGTGCCTAACCTTGAAGGTATCTCACAGCATTCACAGCAAACAGTCACCAAATTAAGTATTAATGTGTCACAGCAATGCAATTTTTTAGATGCACATTTACTTTACTATTACTAGTAATAATTATTTTGTAAGGTGCAATTCCCAAGTGGCAGTTGTGACCACAACACGTGTGCACTTGCTTAATGGCAATTGTCACAAGAAAATACCAAATGCTTCTACACTGCATGACCCTGTATGCATTATAGACATGTTGGTCTAAAAGAACATAAATATAGAGATTTTAAAAGCATTTCACATTCAGAGGAATTTTGAATTATATTTGTTGCATCAAATATTGTGGTTTCTCTGATGTTGTCTCTGCAAGGGTCAGGTACAATTTTGAGTAATGTAAAGTACCTGTGTGTATACCTTCTCTAGGTAACCACACAATAAGAGATAAATTGAAGACATGAAATTTAGATTTCATCAAGTATGGCATAAAATATATCTCCAAATGTTGTCTCCGCAACAGACAAAATACTGTGGAATGACCCTTAATTTGAATATTTAACTGAGTTTGAACTGTATGCAGTTGAACCTCTATTAAAGTGTCTATCACCCTTAAATAGATATTTTCAGAATCAACTCTATGCACATTGAATAGTTAAATGGTGAAATATTTCTTGTTTTTGAATTTACAAAATGCTAATTAGATGACGTCAACCTGGGAATTTGCCATTATTTCTATGCCAACTTACAATGTGCAGTATACAGCTTGAGGATAATTAATTTGATAAATACAAAAAATAAACTGTGGATAGTCAATTGATTGGTAAAAAATATTACTTGGAGGTGAAAACAAGTAGTTGTATAATAAATGATTCCCAGGTTGACGTCATTAATTAGCATTTTGTAAATTCAAATCTATATAGCTCAATAACACGACGTTCAAAACAAATATTTCATCATTTAACTGTTCAATGTGTGTAGAGTTGATTCTGAAAATATAATTGTATTTAAGGGTGACAGGCACTTTAAGTGGCCATACTTTAATTAATCACAGCCACCAACTATAACAATCATTGTTTAATTCTAGAACTGGAGTGTCATGGTAGCAACTTCCAGTCATGGTCTGTTCTCGTTATTCAGTGATGACAAACCTCTTCTCAGTTGCCATGATTTGAATATTGTGTATTGTGTCAACCCAGAAGAATCAGTGGGCAGAGCCTTATTCAAATAAATCATGGTGAGTTTGTTGTACTTCCTTAGTGAGCACCCAACTATTCATTTCAGTAAAGCTGTTCAGATGGCGTATGACAGCTAAAATTTGTGTTAGTGGTTTCTATGCTTTGCATTGTTTAATTTAAAGGGGTGAGTGGAATAAAGCTTTGAGTGACTTCTGATCAACTGCTAGATTCTCCTTCCAGTTTATATTGTATATGCTCGTGTAACGAAGGGAGAATTTGGCTATAAATCAGGAGTCACCTAGGGCCTTATTCCAAACATTATTTTGAATAAGGCCCTAAGTGACTCCTGATCTGAAGCCAAATTGTTACATGAGCATATACAAGACAAACTGGAAGGAGAATCTAGCAGTTGATCAGAAGTCACTTAGGGCTTTATTCCAATCACCCCTTCATTTCGCACCGTAAAATTTTCGAACACTACAAACACATGAAATTTGCTAAATTTTCGGTCATTTTTACTAAAAAAAAGGTCACTTAGAAATTCCTGGACAACAATTTTCAGCTGGCATTTTTCGGAAAAATCACATTTTATTCCAAAGAATTTTCGGCTAAGTAAATTTTCAGCTAGAACATGTGAACAGCTAATATTTTTCTAACGATCTGTAGGTTTGTATATGTTTGATAAATACATGCGGCGCAATAATTTTTCCCACATACAGTACCGACAAGAACTGTCCCCCACTAAAATTGCACCAAAAGCAGACCTGAGCAGACCATACTTTCTGAAGTGAACCCAACCAAACTTCAAGCCCATATATAAGCTATATAGGTATGTGCCGCCTAATAGGGTCGGGTTTTTGAGCCTCTGGATCCATAAATAGGGTGTCTTATTCGCGATTCTGGGTCTGCTCATGTTTGCACTGATGTTTGCATGTGAAGTGGGGGTTAGTTCCAGTCGGTACTGTAACTGCAACGACAATCCAATCGGAGGGTTCAATCGACGGTGAGGAAAGAGGCCTCACTACTCTATGTACAGTACCGCTCGCGTATACGTTAGCTGCGCAGGCGAATTTCATACGCTCCGACGCAGGGTAGTCAGACGCGTATATACGATTTTTTGCACGCTCGGTCGAAAAAAATGCGCGATTCATGTGCCTTTGTTATTCAGTGCTACAAGTTTCCTTTGTATTTCATTGTTGTATGAAACAAAGGACTTCTAAGTTTGAAAAAGCGATGAGTAGACAACGGAAAATTTACATAATGAAATAAAAGCTATCGTGTTACACTCTCGAATGTCGCGTCGCTTCGCGAATTTTTCGGATAACGAGTAGTAGCAGTAGATTGATGTTAAGCCTTCTGATCACCAACTACATTTATGATTTGTAACGTTCATATTTGTCATATTACAGAATATCCAAACTGAGCAGGAATTGTCCCCGGGCCCACCGACGTGCTGGCACACATTGGCTATGTTCCTCGAACAGTCATTCAGTACGCTAAGTACCTTCTAAGAGGCAACAGTAACGTTGAACTTTTCATGGTCAAGGCAATTACTAATATTCTACAAGTACTAGAAGACGAAGCACTGTAGATTCCTGATAGGTGCAAACGTGTGCGCATCAGGTCACTAGCGATGATAAATACTTGCAAGGCTAGTGATCACCATCAACCTTTTCCTGGTCTTGTTTGAAACCACCAGGATTCGATTTGAAAGAAGTATCCGTCGTTAGCCCTCTGGTTGAAGAAGCTGTTGTGCAGTTTACGTTGGAAAATCCTAATTATTTGTTGGATGTAGTAAGTATTGATTTTTTTTACTCTGGCGATCAAATCCTGGGGTGTGGGTCGATACTGAACTGACAGGGGGGCTCGGCCGTACCATTTTGTGTGTAAAATTCCAGATATGGTACTATTTAGGGGGGCTGTTGAAAAAAAACAATTTTATAATTAACTTGGTACCATTTAGGGTGTCAATTGATTACTAATTGGAATCTGGTTACCGGTTACCGATTTCAGACTTTCAGTTACCGGTTACCGATTTCAGAATTTCAGTTACAGGCTACCGATTCCCCGTTTGGTAAACAGACAACATTTTTTCCATGCAAAACATTATAGTAAATGTGCTCGACTAGTACCTCGTCTATTAACAACAAATTAAGCGCTAGAATGAGCAGACAACCAAAACATGTCGAATTCTTCATGACACATCTGAAATGGGTAACCGATAACCAGATGCCAATAAGTCAGTCAACTGATTTGTCATGTAAAGCAGAGTACAAAAATATCATTCTCGATCAGCTTTTCAGTCAACCTACAGTGCCTTTTAGGGGTCATTTTTAGGGCCACAGCCGAGCCCCCCTAGTGTCAGTTCAGTATGGGAGCCGAACTCCCCCCCTCACCACGCCCCACGGGGAACAAATCTGCAGGTTCATAGGCTGGTTAACCGCGGTCAAACGAGAGAAATTTGCAAAAGTTAAACAAAGTACTTAAAGGTTAAGGTAGTCGTTTTCACTGTTTATTAAAGTTTAATATATTGCCAACATATTTACCAAAATTTACCAAACGTTTTGAAAGTTTACCAAAAAAGTTCTAAATACTGTGAACCGCAGAATCGTCGGCGCCATTTGTCAACATAATTTGGATCAGGCGCAAAGAGTTTTGGTCAGTTTTCCACGGAAAAAAAGATCATCATTTTGAGAAAAATTAAAAGGTAATAACGTGAACTAATTTTTTTACTCATCCTTGCTTACATTAAATAAAATCCCACTGAATAAAACGAAAACCGCGTTGGACGTTTGACCGCGGTGGACCAGGCTGGATACATCCCTGCGTTTGGTAAATGAAAGAAATAATTATGGCTTCATTCACCATTCATTCAGCGTGTCACGCCCCAAAGCATAAAGTATAATGAGGCTCCATCTCTTCATCAGGTGGATACCATAAAAGGCCTATCTGCAGGGAGACCTGGCAACTTAGTTGGCAAATATTGGGAGAAGCTGATATTTAGCAATCTCAAGGAATGTGTGAAAAATGAGTATTCCTTCAAGGAAGAGGCATGTGGTTCCACTGCTGCTAGATCCTACTTAAATTTGTGTGGACATCAAAGCAAAACAGATACGAGAAAATCGATAGAGCAGATAACTAGAGATAAATATAGTGCAATGATAGTCCATTGTCCTAATACCAGCGCCTTTGACTTTGTCATCGTTCATAAATGCAACAAAATTCATGCCATTCAGGTAACCGTTCAAACCGCTGCGAAGAAATGTAACGACAGTGACTTTTTCAAGACTGAAAATATTCACTTTACGTATTTACTAGCGCCTTATGAGGTCGACGTCAACGCTATTAAATTGAAATAAAAGTTATATGATGCATATGTGGCGTATGGTTTGCGAATTGTAAATGGAGCCAGTTTCCTAACTCAGAAAGAATGGAGTACTTTTCAATTTGGCGTCGAAGCCACTTGAAGATCTGTCTTGGCGTGGATTAATAAAACGGGTATTTCATCTGCAACATGTTTGTTGCCCATGTGGAAAAAGGGACTTCCCTTCTCATGAGGCTTGAAAGAAACCACCCCGAACATACGGAAGATTGCTGAAGTTTACCCCCTCTTATTTTGAAAACGAGCGCGGTGACCCCCATTTTTATTTCATTTATTTCTGAACTTCACTTGTATCGATCTTTGTTTATGCAAAGTTTCAAAACTTTTCTATAAGTCCCGAACTACCTTAAAATATATGCATTAATATATATACTAATTAGACTATTATATATTATTTACGTGCATATAATGAGACGAGATTATACAAACATTGACATGTGTCAAGAACTACAAAAGTAGTTCAAATTTTCTACCGCCATAGCGAACAAAACAAAACTAGACCCTGTGAGCAGGGTAACTGGGATACCTGGATGGTACTGGATCCTTGGAATCAAGTGTAGTGATACTACGGGTGTCGGACTAGTATACTGAAATAGTGCGCTCAAGTCAAAGCCAAAGGCATACACCTATTTCAAAACATAGGCATGCTATGCATGCAAGAGTTACTTTTTTGTAGGGTGGGTGGATTACTTGAAACATTGTGAGTGATGTCTACATTCTTACAAAAGGAGAGAAGAATATTAATGTGGGAAAGAACGAAAATGTCGAATTACCTCACTCACAGATATTTTGAGGTAGATTATGTGTGTTTTGCGAATAAATTTAACCAAAAATAAACTGTATTGGTGCCACGGATACCTGTTAGTAAAAATGCAGACAGCAGACTGCAGACCGGATACAAAATATATAGGCTGCAGACTGCAGAGTGGGTACAAAATGCAGACTAAGAATCTGAAGAGTTTTTACGTCTGGTATATAGTAACATGTCATCTTACAGCTTACCGCGCGTCACGCAATCGCTTTTCTGCGATCCCCCTTCACGATTATTTGCACTATTGTGGAATATTCCTGGCCCATTTCTTGATGAAAATCGATCGCAATATTATTTCAAGCCTTCAATATAGTCTTCTTACTTTGCGCGCGAGTTGGTTGGTGTGATGTCTGTACAGATTTTACCAACGTAATAAAAGTAGATGACGTGAATAACAGTGATGGTAAAGCAAGCTTAAAACGGCAGAAATCGCCGGAAAATACAACGGATACACAGGGTATGAGTAATTTTTATTGATTTTACGAGAAAAATGTTCATATTTCGAAATATTTATCGTTGTAAATCGACCATACTTTGTTCCCTATACTATTCCTTATAACGTGTTCAAATTTCCAACAGTTCCTCACGTAACTTAACACCGAGTCACACAACGCGTGACGCGTTCATGAATTAATCGTTGGCTTTTTCTCGAGACGTGAGCTTGGGCCGCCTGTGACAAGACAATTGCGTAAACAATATTTAACATAATAACATTATACATAAAAAAACACAGGGTTTTGGATCACTTATTTATTAAAAAAGAATGTCCATACAACTACAATGAAAACGAACATAAGATTCACCTTTCTAATCGTGAAATTAATACCATTCGTACTGTTATCGTAACTACGTTTCTTGCCATCAAGTGAATCCAACATGTCGTCTTTCTTCACAAGCAGTTTGCATCCATTATAGTTATGTTCTTCAGTCTCACGGTAGTAGTGTTGTTCAATAGATTGCATAGAGTATATGCAGTTTGGTTTCAGATTTCAGATTTTGCTTTTTACAACGAGTTTACGTTTTCAACTAAGACATTGGCATACTTGGCATACAAGACATACAAGGCATTCAATGCTTTCATGGCTTTCAAGCGTTCGCGATTCTGTCCGATCCAAAATTACCGCTCAATAACATCTTTTTGTGTGGATTTGCCGCGAACAATACGACTTGTGTATGCGTCTATAAGTATTTTGACAGGTATCCCAATAAAAAACAAAAAAACAAAGGCATTTTATGACTGGGCTACCACAGGTATCCCAGTAACGAGGTCTGAATTGCCCTTATTCATAATGACGTCACATCAAAACAATCTATTGTTTAAACGCAAAGAATCATGGTCGCGGGAGGGGGACAAAACAGCAACAACACAAAAAAAATTGATATAAAACTCGTTTTATAGACCAAAGAAAAGCGGTGACAGCCATCAAGTGCAATAAATATTGCTTATTAAACATTGGTGCATCTCATATTTGAGTCCCAGGCCATTTGAGTTAAAACTTTTCTTACCAGAGCGAGTTTTAAACGAATTTCTATCGTTCTAGACGATTCTTTCCCCCTCATAAACAAGCCCTGACGTCATCATGAATAAGAGCAATTAAAAACATTAAACGGAATATTTATTGGACGCTAAAAAAATTGACAGTGAAATGAAGAACTTTCTTAATTAAGCATTGTAATAAAGCATTTGTAGCATAGATTTCATAATTCCAAAAAAATATCCATCCCACTCCCGCCCTCACGGATTTCAAACAAAACAGTGACAGTCACATATTAATAAATGGTGAGAATTTATCATTTCCTGAATTTGGCATTTTTTTCCCCCATATGTACTCTAGAGACCTAGCTCTTTCTGTATATGATTTCGATGAACTTCGAGTAATTCACGCTTAATTGCCGCCGAAATGATCACCAAGAAGGGAATAAATTGGGGCTGCAGTTTTTGGACGCACTCAACCTTACAATGGAAGTATACGTTTCCTAATCGTCCAGTCTTTTGCTCTCCATTCTGCCAATAGGCCCGTCTGGTGCTTGATATTATGACGAGGTCTTCTGGTGGGTTGGGAATAAAAAAGTCTTCACCACGCCTTAGTTTCAAGACACCCTTACACCCGTAACACCTTCTCACCAGAGGGCTGCATCTTTTAAGAAGGCTCAACTGGAAACTACCTTCTTGAACTGCCGGCGTTGATGTGTTGGGGCTATTATTCTGCAGATAGAATAAAATTAATGGCATTTTAGTTAACAGCCAAGATTAGTCGGTGGCTGCGTGGGAATTATGCAACGAGCCGACGGTCTCGCCAGATGCTAAATCCTTATAAACCTTATGTCCTGCAGGCCATTTCTACAATTGAAAGGTTCTGTGATTAGGAGGACTGTTTTGCCGCGCATTATCACTACAAGCTTTATTTGATAGAGTTTTTATTTCGTTCAACCCAATTAGCTCACCAGTTAGTGAAATAGAACGACTTGCACAGAGCTAACATATAGCGGGACTTTACCATGATCATAGTCGATATAAAAAATCAAACGGTTGGCAGCATAATCACACAAAAAAATTTGAAACCTTTCACCGATCTAAAACCCGAGATAACAGAATCACGCATTACACCCTGTATTAACTGTGAATGATCCTTACAATATATACATACCTGAGGCTCTTCTGTGTCTTTTTGTGTTGTTGTCTTCTCTGCTTCCTTCTCTGTGCCTCTGTTTCCTGAGGATCTTACTAAAGTCGACGCCGGATTCGATGCTGATTGGTCAGTTGGAGAGGTGTTAGTGTAACTCTCCACAACTTCCTCTCTTTTTTTATTTGTAGCACCTTTCCTTCTTTGTGTTGCCTTGGTCTTTTTTGACCCACGTCCAGGAGGGAGGTCCATGTGAATCAAGGCATCCACGTTAGGAGGCCTTTGGTTCGTTGTCTTGTAACAATGAACGAACTCAGTCAATGAACGACCCATTTCAGCCACAGCTAAAGTATGAGCACAAATGTCATACGCTTTAAAATCGATACAAGTGCCGCTGCACACATAATATGTTCCACGTCGCACGGTACGTTTCTTGCAAACTGCATACGATGGAGCATCAATTGCCTCGTTTGCCACATAACGTGGCAAATTGTCCCCTCTTCCAGGATCGGGATGAATATTTTCTTCTTTGCGCGCCAAAATCAACGATGCACGATGGTACATACGTGCTAGAATACTGAAGGGAACCCGGATAATGCCAAAATCTTCTAGAGGCAAACTCAATGGTGACATTGTGTCCGCTTCATTTGTGTTTTCCAGGTCGATAGGAATTATGTCAACTGTCTTTACTGGGAGATTGTGAAATTTTTTGAGCGCCGCTTCTTGTTGCGCTCTCGTCTTCCTGTAAAAGACAGACTCCTTCATTCCCTCTTCCTCGTAATTTTTGTCCATTTTTAGCTCTCCGAGCCAATAAATGCTAAATCCTCTTCTGTTCTCTGTCTTTTCACCACCGTCTGCAGCAACCTGGCAAATTCGGGAATAGAAAGCTTCCTTTTCCTTGTAAGTTGTTTCTCTCTTTGTAGAACCGAGTTCATACATTCATTTCCGTTCTGATCGTATACACCTGGTGGCCAGCCTAGACCAGCCATGGATCTCAATTCAGCTGTCATCGTTTGCCTTATAATTTCCGCTTTGTACTTACAAAAGTAAGTAACAAAGCGCTCTGAGAGTGGGTGTAAGGAAAGCCACTCCTCCTTCATTTTTTCCAGATTGGTCACGAACTGGGCGTGGCTTTCCGAGTCTATAAGACCAGGAACCCTCTTACAACCAATATCTCCTCCGAAGATGTCACTTAGAATGACTTCTGATGGTTTGCCCCGTATTCCAAGTTCGTTCATTTTTGACACTATGTTTTCTTTCATATGCAGGTCACAGAGTAAATGCTGGGCATAAGGGAGAGGTCTACCGAAACCCTCACCCAATGCCTTTTCTCCGTCAGTACCATATACTAGAACATTTTGGGTTTTTGCATTTAGCTTTATCATGGTAGACGAGAGCTCGTAATATCTGGATGGTTCTTTTTTGTGGTGAACTAGGGTTGGTCCAATCCGGACTGGATTCTTGTCTTCTTTGGTTCGGAGAAGGAGATGCCTGTATGTAGTAAGAGTCACATAATAGTCTCCAAAAATTGAAAATGGGATCGACTCCTAAAATACTGAACTGGCTAGGATTTGTGCAAAATCTTTCCACGTCCTTAAGTTGCTGGTCAGTGGTTAGGACAACACAAGGATCTGACGAGGTCTCTACTTTACGGACGAAGGCGTTCTCTTTGTCTCTGTTTCCTTGCTTCGCATGTCTATCAGCTCGAGTGTAGAATCCCCAGGTTGCTCTTCCATGGTTTTTTTAATGTTCTTTATCTGTTGTACATTTCTGGCATGGCTAGCTGCGTTTATAAAGTTTGAAATTGTTCCCTTTTCTTCGATACTCTTGAAAAACACCGTCTTGGGAGGGTCAGATTTCGCGAGCTCTTTTAACCGCTCCATGGTAGTATGCGAAGTGCGGTAATACTCTTTGGAAAGACTTTTAGAATTTCCATGTGGTTTAACTTTAACTTCGTGTTCATTATCATCAAAAACATATTGCAGAAGAGCAAAACCGTGAATCGTTCCGTTGGAATCTGAAAAAGGAGAAGATGAAAATTAATAAAGGTTTTGATATTTGAATGCACTTGGTAACCAGATGTTGTGCACTGGTGTGATATGCTGTATTGATTAAAACCCCCTTTTGCTGGTCAGATTTGTTACATTATG